ATATATATATATATATAGATAAGTTAACGACTCCGAGTTTTAAAAAGAACCAAAAACACTACCTACATCTATCACTCAATCCTTACATATTCATACATGCGGGTCTGCTTAACTCTACCAAATCATGTCAACAAAATAATTCGTTCCTTCAAATAGAAATTTTTTCCGGTACACGAGGAACTTGAAATGTTAAATATACAACGACGTCATAAACGTCAGATCAGTAAAACCCCCCAAGCTAGCCATGATACTTTTCTTACATTGAGCTTAAGTCTTGTAGCCCAAACCGGATGAAGATTAATCCGAAAATGGTTCCCTGCCCAGTAGTGACAAGCTCCACTAAGGATACATCGACAATCATCCTGAGAAGAAGTCTAGAAGGCCTTCCTTATAGAGAGGGTACCTGATCTAAGAACGGAGGTCCGAACGAGAGCCTAATGTCACCTCCCAAAAGAGCCCTTGTGGGTGGTGGGCAGCCCAGGACTTAAATACTGTTTTTTGGCCCTACACCTAGTCGATGTGGGACTATTTGTCTGTGACATTCTCCTCCACCCAATCAAGTAACGCCCTCATCACAGATTGGCTCCACCGAGGGTCCCACTAGACCATGGAGAGTCCACACACGTGACCGACAGTAATCTGCTCTGCACCTCCCAAAAGAGCCCTTGTGGGTGGTGGGCAGCCCATGACTTAAATACTGTTTTTTGGCCCTACACCTAGTCGATGTGGGACTATTTGTCTGTGACACTAAGGACCCATGCAAGTGAAAAGTCAGTACCCGACTCACATGCCCAAAAGATGATCGGTCGCTTGATAGTGACAAGCTCTGCGAGGATCATCAATGGCTCCTAGGGCGTTTCAGCACCTGACAACAACAAGCTCTGCGAGGGGAGCGAAACGATCGCCCTTGGCCATAAGATGACTCGCCATCCAACAACGACAAGCTCCATGAGAGGTATACGACGATCGCCTTCGGCCCTTGAGTTGACTAGCTACCAAACGATGACAAGCTCCGTGAGGGTTATATGACGATAGTCTTCTGCTCTTGAGATGACTCGCCACCCAATAATAATAAGCTCCATGAGGGGTATACAACGATTGTCTTCGGCCCATGAGATGACTCGCCACCTGGCAGTGATAAGCTTCGCGAGGGGTGATAGGCGAATCATCTGGGGTCATTCAACGACTGATTAGTTACAACAAATGACGCCAAAGATGCCATAACCAAGCGTGAAGAGCGCCTAATCATGGGTATCATCAACATGATTTATTTGATCTATAAATTATCTCGTCCTTATTGTAGCTGTCGCTATCAATGAGCAAAAACAAATTAGGGAACTTAATATGTGTACTCAAAAAAGGTCTGCACATATCTTGAGGCAATCTGACGGTCCAAGGTAAAGCACTAGAATACCCTTTGCTCATCTCTTTAAAGCAATACTAACGATATAATTTTATATTTTTTTCTTCATATCTTTTATTAATAGGAGGGCTCTGACATGTAAAAGGGATTTTTGATCCCCACTTGTAGCCGCTATTTTTAATGAAATAAAATGGGTTCACGAGTCAAGAATACCCTATTCTCTCCGGTCGGGCATGTCCTCCTCTTCCTCTCTTTCTTTCTCTCCTTCCTTCAATCTCCTTTCCCCGGTGTGTTCAACGCTCTATTTCTTGGGTACAGTCTACCAGACAGATTTGAATTCAGTAGTAAGTATCAAACTCTGGGCTTACATATGCAAATACAAAAAAAAAATGTCTATATTAAAAATAGATGTTTAGAAATGGGCATTTACATGCATACCGCCCAATTTTTATGTATTTACATATCTGACGCCTAGTCCTTATTTTTTTTAACATTTATACCGCTCAAATTATTATTCTCACAAAAAAAAATATCATTATTTTAACTTTTTGAGACATGAAATATACATTTTCATTCACAAGAAATGTGGGCATATATGTAAAATTAAAATTTAAATGTTGAATAATGAGTAAATGGATAGGAATTAGGTGGTTATGTATGCATGCCTTCAATTCGGAGGCATAATATTCAAGCATATACTAATAATAATAATGTACCTGAACCCATTTGTTGGCTATGCTCTTATATCCGGTGGCAAACAATATGGCATCAAAGCGGTGCGATGCTCCGTTTGTGAATTTTACACAATTGCCCCCCTCAAAATATGAAATTCCTGGCAAGACCTATCAAAGCAAATTGATTAT